CATAACAAAATTGAAAAAAGTGAAGGGGGTCTGAATACTTTCCAAATGCACTGTACATGGATAAATGTGTGGCACATGGATGATAACACCAATATTTGTAGAAATGCAAGCAAATCTACCAAAGCGAGCATGATTATCAGCCTAAAATATGCAGAGGAAATGCTTTTTGGTGAAGCAAATGGAATCAGTAAGAAAAAGCAAAGATCTTATTTTAGATAGCAATACTGTTCTTAATAGAATTTAATAGTATTCATGTGTGAGAAATTCATACAAATAACACATCCTTTTTTATTTTAGCTCTATGCCACAGGATATGGTGCAGGTGGAAGGCTTGGAATTGGAGGGACAGAGTCTGTTTCTACTCCAACATTACTAGAATCCATTCAGCATGTGTTTATCAAGAAAGTTGCTGTGAATTCTGGAGGAAAACATTGTCTAGCATTGTCTTCAGAAGGAGAAGTTTATTCCTGGGGTGAGGCAGAAGATGGCAAACTGGGCCATGGCAACCGGAGGTAGCACATTAATTTTATAACTAATATCATATATGGTCTATAGGTGTGTAAACTCTTAAAGCATCTTGGTGTAGTAATTAAAAGTGCTGGCTTAGAAGCCTGGAGACCGGGTTCTAGCCCTGCCTTAGGCATGAAAGCCAGTTGGATAATTTAGGAGCAGTCACTCTAGGAAGAAAGTACTTCAGCAATTGTTTCCGAAAATGTTGCCAAAAATACTGCAAGGACTTGTTTCTGTGGCCACCAGGAACCAGAATAGACTTGATGGACCATAACAACACAGCAGAGGAGCTGCCGAGTTTATAACCCACCAAAGAGTGATTTAACAAGAAATGGAAAAATGTAATACCCCAATTGGGTTAGACATTGGTGCATGATGCTGTTTTGAGTTGCACTGACTATTAATCAGTGCCAGAGATTTTGAGGTAGCAGGCATAATTCCTCTTGTTCTTGACAGACTTCAGAATATTGTGTAGTTATTTGAGAGAAAGAGGGAAATTGAGAGGTAAAACTATTGTCATGGCTTATCCCTGGATTCTTTCCATAAGTTTGGAATGGAACAAAATATTAGACCTCTGTACAATCCTACAATCAGCCAGCAAAACGTGTGTAAAGGTTATTTATCCTGAAAAGTTTCAAGCTATGTTTTAACTGTTCCTATTAACTTCTGTTATACAATGAAGTCAGCTTGCAATCTACAATGTATTTACGGAAGTATGTTGCTTTATGCTTTAAAATTATTGTGTTTAGCCCCTGTGATCGTCCTCGAGTAATTGAATCTTTGCGGGGCGTAGAAGTTGTTGATATTGCGGCTGGTGGAGCACATAGTGCATGCATTACTGCTGCAGGAGATCTTTATACATGGGGCAAGGGAAGATATGGACGTCTTGGTCATGGGGACAGCGAGGATCAGTTGAAACCCAAGCTGGTAAGATGGTGTCTGTGTTGCATGTTTCAACTGCCTTTTTTAACTAAAAAAGCATTTATAAATTCACTTTGTAATATGTTACCTTGTTATGCCAAATTTCATGCTAAGTTTGGAGCAAGTCCCAAAAGATTTAAGGGAAGTCAAACAAACAACTTTGTACCTCCTATTTTGCCAGACTTATTTTTGGAGGTATTCATTCATTCATTCATATAGCCGGCCATCTTAAACAACAAAAATAATTTAAAAATACACATAAAAACATCAAATATACAGCCATTCTAAAACCACTATTAAAAACATAACTACGTATAAAACAAAATCACATTCAGTGGGTAGGTGCAATCAGTACAATAGATTCAATACAATATTAATGAAGTGTGCCCATTGTGGTCAATTCAATCTATAGATAATTTTGTTATGTAGCTATTAACATTGAATAATAATTCATATTGAAAATTGCATTATTAAGACAGTTATGATAAATGTAATAAAGTCAGTGCAATCAGCAGTATTTAACTTTGGTTTCAGATTATCATGCTGATCTTTATTAAGCTTAACTTGTAAAAATGAAGATTATAAAACATTGCTTGAGTTTGAATTCATTTTTTATTTTTACTTACTTTTTATTTCATTTTACCAGAAAATCTTAAAACTGTAAAACACAACAGCAGAATGTCCATGCAAATCAAGATACAAGCATATATTCATTCAATGAAATGAATACTACATCTAAAAGTTACTCTAATATGCCATGTTCCTGTTTCATGAAATCCATGCAAATGCTCAAACCTTTCAGAATGGTGTGTAATATAATTCCTCAATGTAATGTCGTACCACTGAAGAGAAGACCTACATGAGTGTGTGTGATTCTACTAATTAACTTTTTAAAGCTCTGATCATTTGAGTTATTTGTCAATAAACTGCCTGTTTTGCAGGTTGAAGCACTCCAGGGCTACCGTGTGATTGACATCGCCTGTGGCAGTGGAGATGCACAGACACTTTGTTTGACGGATGATGATATTGTCTGGTCCTGGGGAGATGGAGACTATGGAAAGCTTGGGAGAGGTGGGAGTGATGGCTGCAAAGTGCCGATGAAGGTACTTCACTCGTACTTTAGAAAAACGCAAAAAAATGCGTACCATATTTCTGTACTTGAAAAATATTTAGCTATATCAATTGGATTTAGAAATAATGTTGAATAACATGAGCTTTATATGTAGAGCTGAATCATTCTTTTTGGTCACTTTTCAAAAATTATATGGATTTGAATGAATGTACCATACAGTTCAAAATGGACCATAACTATAAACTTATGGTTGCTGTTAACTTGCTAGGTATAAACAATCATTAAGGTATGCAAAGTTAAGCAAATGTCTTAAAAAGTTGAATATAATATATAGTTAATTTTGGCATAGTTACCAGGATGTTTAGCTTCATTTTTTTAATGTATTAGAGAGAGTCCAAGAAGGATTAGCTCTTATTTTTATCAGGGAAACATTTGTACTCAAATCTGTTCATTTCAATAATTTCTCAGACTTAACAAATGCATTTCAAACTAGCTTGAAGAAAATCCAACAAGTTATAGAAGACTGCAGAAGATTCTGATTTCTCCTGTGACTGGAAATATTGGTCCCTTTGGCTTGTACTTCCATTTTCAGAAATTTAAATCAACATTGAAAAAGCAGGAAAAATTTTCAGATTCTTTTCTACTCTACCTGTTGTGCTGTGTCACCTCCAGCTAGTGTACAGTGTTAAAATCCAATAACATTATAAAGTAATAATCATGGAAATATCTTAGTATGTATAAACCATTAGCCATGAATAACTGAGCAGTACCATTGTGAAGTGATACCAGTCAGGTGCAGAAGTCATTAAAAAAGTATTTGCAACATTTGAAAAGATGAGTGAATGGTTTACATTTAGGGGGTTGGTATTCTACACAGCAGGGACCATAACAGAAGTGCCCTCTTCTTGAGTGATACCAAATGTGACTATGCAAAAGATGTGGGCCACATCTTTTGATGGTAATAGTAGTTGGTCAGATTGGTATGGATGAAAGCATTCTCTTATAAAAAAATATTTTCTGAATTTTCAAGGCTCTTTTTAACAATTGTTTTACTCTTTGTGAGACTATACTATCATCTGCTTTCATGGGGATGAAAGCAACATGTATCAATATATTGTTGGTTCAGATGTAGCTTTCATTTTTTCCGGTTTATTCCAATTTATTTTTTCTAGTTTTCCAGTTTCTCTGGGGGAATGGGTTATAGCTTGATTAAAGAGAGATATAAAGAAAAGAGAGTGAGATCAGAATATTTTAAATTATTTCTTTAAATAAAGAAAGTTGGATTTAGTAATTCTCTTTTTGGGTAGAGTAGAGCTTTACTTTTAAGATACCTCGACGTGCTCCATGTTCTTGAGTTACCTTCTCTGTTGAGCTGTGTTCAAACTTTTTTTTCCCCTAGATTGATTCTCTCACAGGTGTTGGTGTAGTTAAAGTCGAATGTGGCTCACAATTTTCAGTGGCCCTTACCAAATCTGGAGCAGTATATACCTGGTAAGTGCATTTATTCTTACAAAAAATGTAGTACAATTCTTAGTGATTTTCTTTTCTTTTAAACAAAAAACATGATCAGGGAAGCTTGAGGTTAAAAAATGTAATACAGGCAATTGTTACAAACAGATGTAAGGTATCCCTTTAGTAAAACTGTTTCTGTAATGGAATCTAGGAAGATCACAAGTCTGTTTTTCGAAGCATCTGCTTTTTTAAACATAGGGAACAGAATTATATCAAAATCTATATTCTCCTAATTTACTTAAGTCACGCCTGCATAATTAGGAACAATTAAAGAGAAAATGGATGTGTTAATTGTAATATATGTTTTGGATCTAGGGGCAAAGGAGATTACCATCGATTAGGTCATGGATCAGATGACCATGTTCGGAGACCTCGACAAGTCCAGGGTTTACAAGGAAAAAAAGTAATTGCCATAGCAACAGGCTCTTTACACTGTGTGTGCTGTACTGAAGATGGTATGTGGAATAACTTGCATCATTAAAACAAAACAGCAGCCTTAAACTCCCAAAGTGAACACATTATAGAAGGCTGTAATTTTATCCCTGGTCTTTTGATATACTGCTGTGTGTTTACAGATAGTCCTCATTAACAACCAACAAAAGGGACCAGAAAATTCATCATTAAGCAAGGCATCACATGACTGCACCCAATTTTATGACTTTTTTGCGGTGGTCGTTAAGTGAATCACCATGGTCATTAAGTGAATTGCATGGTCATTAAGCGAATCACACAGATTCCCATTGATTTTGCTTGCCAGAAGCCAGCTGGGAAGGTTGCAAATGACAATCATGTGACTGCAGGATGTGGCAATCGTAAGCGCGAGCTGGTTGCCAAGCACCCGGATTGCGATCATGTGACTGTGGGGATGTTGTGATGGTCGTAAGCGTGAGGGATGGTCATAAGAAGCTTTAGCACCGTCATAACTTTGAATTGTCACTAAATGAATGGTCGTTAAGCGAGGACTACCTGTACTGCAAATGCCAGTTAGCCTTCAGTTTTTTGAAATGTGTCCTTTCAGTATTTCTGAAGAAAATCTTTCAAAATAATCTTTGCCCTGTGTTCAATTTGTGCAGAACAGGACAAAGTGGTAAACTTTTAAAAGATATCTATATGGTATAATTTGCATTGCACATGTAACTCAGTGTTCTACCCAAGGCTGAATGCCTCTGCCAGAAGCTGTAATGAAGCAATAGAAGCGGCATGTAATAGTCAGTGAAGTGGAAATTTCACAATACAGCCAAGAAAATTAGAAGTATAGGTGATAGTATAGTTCAAAATTCAGGATGTTAGAAGATAATACAGTGGAACCTCGGGTTACGAACGTTTCTGTTCACGAACTTTTCGGGTGAT